GAAAGAGTGCTGCCAAGTAATTCAGTTTTCTACTGGGAAAACGTCATTCTAAAACTCTTCAGCTCAATCCAGAATTATACCCCCTCCTGAACTGACCCAAAGCTGTTTTTTCAAATCAGTGCAACAACCAAATAAGATGTCTGTTTTCCTGACGACATTTCGACTCTACTTTCTTTTTATTGCTTAAGTGCTCTGCAGGCCACTGTCCATGATGCAATGCAGATTTCTCTCTGGCCAAGTTGTAGGTAATTCACCAAAAAAATCTGCAAAAGCAGCTGCAGGTAAATACAATACTTAGTTTCCTTTCAGTAAGAAGCATCCACCCCAAAATTCTTGCCTCAAACTCAAAGAATTTCAGAATATCTGTGCTGTGAAAAAAGGAAATGTGTGACGATTTAGGAAGAAAAGCAACAGTGAAGCTACCCACACAGTGGTAGCTTAGTTCTTATTTTACTCCAGTGAAAACATCATTTTTAAAAAATCATACCAGAAATTACAGCTCTAGACAGCAGTTTCAGTAAAGAAACCATAAAGCCAGTAAACTGCAAATGAAACCCGCCCAACCTTTAAGGTGGCCCTTCTCAAACGGAAGCGGCCTTGCTATGCAATTACAAGCAGACACCTCCTGCACACCCGCCACTCCTGCTGCAGCTGGTCTGGGACAGGGGGTGGGGGGCATGGGGGAAGAAGTTAATCCCAAGCAGAAAGCCACTCTCTCATTTTTCAAAATAAAATATTACGATTTATTTAGGAATATGTATTTAAAAACCCAACCAAGAACAATCCAAAGCAAACAAACAAACAAAAAGCCCAGAGAAGAATGTTTTATTTGGCCTATCTTGAATACATATTTTATGTGTACATGAGCAATTAATACTGCCATTTCAGTGATGATGACATTAGCTTTCTGTTAAGTATTGCCTTCAAGGTAACAACATGGAATTAACACAGAGTAATTTGCTCATTACTTGGGTCAGAAATTGGCCATTAGATTAAAAACCTAATTTGGTATGTCTATACCCCCTGTTTTACTTTGAAACCTGAAAATCCATTGCCTTTATTTGTGCCAGGTTCTTCTGACCTTGTGTTTTCTTACCGTTCTTGAATACACCGCACTGACTACAAACACCAAAATAAAATACAAAAGAATTAATCAGCAAAATATCTAAAGGAGAAGAATGCAGTGAAGCTCTCATGTTTTAAATGGGTATGGACAAAGATGTTTGCCTTCCTATTGCTTGTGATAAGAAAGTATGCATTTTTGATAAGGAAGAATGTATTTTTATCAGCTTTGGATCATTTTTCATGTTCAGTTAGGAAGCACAATGTTGCTGTGCAGATGTAAACTCTCTTGAAAAATGCACAGGATAAACAAGATAAAAACTTGAAAACTTAATCCAAGGTATTATACTAAAACTACATGACAAAGAAACACCTGATTAGCCACTTTTAAGGGGGAACTAAAGGGTTCCTGTGACATTCCACTGCCCCGTGCTCCTTTCTTCCTATTTCACTGATATGCGTCTGCCTCTCAGATAACTTGAAGGCATTAATATGTAATATTTGCTTCACAAACACTGTCAGGCTCGTTAATATAAAAACCAAACAAAAAAAAATTCAGATCAACAAAACTGGGGTCAGAATGAATGTTAAAAGTAGTTTTTCATAAGACATACTTGTAGCCAAAAGCACTAGGAGATATTAACATGTCCTAAAATAATGAAATAAACAAAACCTCTTATTTTCTCATTCAATTACAACGTCACTGCTTATTAAAAAACAACAAGGATTAGTTGTTGAAGTTAAAATGGGCTTGCTCTTTAACACCTGTAATCCCCATGACCTTGGTGAACCCCAGGCACCTGTTAGGCATGGCTAATTGTTTGCATGCACCATGGTTGACTCAAGTTTCTCCACTTTATATACAAATTAGTATTCCTGTATGTTTCTACATCAAGTAGCAAATAGCTTGCTTGTTATAATTTAAAATCTTGGTCTGTTTTGTCCATAAAGCCTCATCCTGACCTCTGTCTTCAAAAGTTACTTTTTACTTCATTCTCTCTCCTCTCCCAGCTAGGTGTAACTTGGGTCATTTGGCTTCTCTGTGGAGTGTTTTTGCTACGATTTTCCCCATTGTCCTGGTTTGAGCCAGGATGAAGCCAATTTTTCTTTTTACTGATTTTTTTTTTCCTTCAGTAAGCTTTCTTGTAACTAGCAACAGTGTGTTCTGCTAGGCTGATAAGACAGTGGAATGTTTTTCTACGTAAGCTCAAAGGAAGGTCAGAGATCACAGAAGACAACTTCCTTCCTTCTTCTTCTTCCCTTCTCTTCCGTCCATGGCCGGCGTCCGGGGAGGACTCTGTTCATCCATCACTGTCGACCCTTAGGCTCGAGATCTCTCTGACCCCCATAACTCTCTGCTTTCTCCAGCAGCAGCTCCGGGATTCCTCGGGACTCTTCCCAGTTCTGGGAAGTGCTGTGGGAGTTGCTGGGGTGGGGGGAGGCGAGAGGCTTTTGCCCATACCTGAATATATCTGTACATAATTGTATATATTTTCTTGTATAATTCATTAGTGTTTTAATTAAAGCTGTGTAGTTTAGTTTTCAATCCAGCCAAGTCTCTCTCTCTTTTTCTCTCTCTCCTTCCCTACCTGGGTTAGGGGGAGGGGATCGAGAGCATTGTTGTCGGACCTGAGTCAAACTGTGACACCCATTAGGTAAAATGGGCAGCGAAATGTGTTCCTCGGGGTCCATGCAGATGGCACCAAAGCCCTGTGCTCCTGCAGATCCACAGCTGGTGAACCCAGAAGAAAGGCAGGACTCACAGGACTGGGGACTTCGGCGTGGTACAAAACCAGGAAGCAGCTGCCTTTCCTCAGCTGGCAAGTCCTGTCCCAAACACTTTGTGCCCTGCCCATGGAAGTCAGAGCCCGGGGACAAGCCTGGCTCTGCCCAGCCCTCAATTTCTGCCTCAGCTACAGGTAGCTGTTACAAGCCCATAGCCCTTCCCAATAGCACAGGGTCTTGAAATCTTCCAAGGCTCCACAGGTTTTTATCTTCAGAAACCCCGCTGAGACTAGGCAGCATTACTGCCACTGTTGAAATCAGGAACAGGTTTTTACATTCTTTCTGCAGTTACCAGTCCATCAGAACACGCAGCAGCTGAATCCAGCTCATTGCCACAGCACAGTGCCCATCCCTTTTTCCTCTTGGCCAGGTCAGCATTTGGCTTTTCAGAGCTCTGCTACAGTTTTACTTTGCAGTAAAGCTGCAAAGTAACTTTGCTCTTGCACCAGCTGCCTAAGGTCTGTGCTAACTGCTGGTGAAAAACTCGAAGGGGAATTAATGAGAGGGAGGAGAGAGGGGAAGGGGCCTCCTCCAAGATTGCTCTCGGTTTATCTTAACTGATCTGATGCCTTCGCAAATCCTGTAACCTCTGACAAATTTCTGTCTTGGATACAAGCTTACAAATAAAAAGCAAGTTCATTTCTCCCACAGCCCGCGGGACGGATTTACAAGGCCTGTCCCCCCACCAGCAATGCGAGCAGCAGCACCGAGGTAGGTGCGTACACTAAAACTCAGGCTCCAAATAGGGTGTGTGCGACTGTAGGTACTCCCTGGCCCTCACAGAAGCACACCCTCTGAGCAAGTCTTGTACACTCTGACCCATAGCTGGCCTGGTTCACTGCTTTTTTTGTTAGGCAATTCTTTTGTTTACTGAACTTTTTCAGTGATGAACCAAAATAATATTGAGAACTTTGGAGACGTGTAAATAACAGGATTTAACTCAGCGTGGGGAGGAAAAAAAAAAAAAAAGAAAAAAATATATTTGATTTGCATATTTTAATTAAGGAAT